AGTCTTGTACTGTTTTATTTTAGTTTAAAGTGTAATTTTAAAAAAATAATTAAAATAAAATAAAATGATGACATTATATTTTTAATGGTGTGACATTGGATGATGTGTTTTTTTTATGACATGATAATTGATGATATGATAATTGATGATATGATTATTTGATGACATGGCCTTTAAAGAAATTATCACTTAGTGATATGACACTTGAAAATGTAATTGTTGTGGAAACCAAACATTATTTTATATAATGATAAGGACTAAAAGTGTCGATGTTTAATTAGAAACTTTACAAACAAAAACAAAAAGAACTGTAGAAACTAAAAGCAAAAATATATTTATTTGCATAAATTATAAAAACATATTTAAACTAATTAACTTTTACATGGTGTTAGCAACTTCACTATACTATATGCATATGGTGTTATAGTAAAATGTTTAAATCCTTGTCTGAAGTCACACATAGAGTAGCATGTCATCTCATAATATTACAGCATTCTATATTAGGAATCTACAAATTATTTTTTACAAATAAATTCGTAAAAAAATTTTGTGAAATTATTATTGCAAGAAAATTTGCAAGAAATTTCTGCAAATATTTTTTTTAAGAAAATTCGTAAGAAAATGATATTTTCAGCATTATGGGCAGAAACTTTTGGCGTCAGCTTAAACACCGCTACAATGTTTCCGAGCTAGAGGTTCCCGAGCCTCCGGAGGAGGATGCTGTCTCCCTAAAGACCCTCCGGAAGAGGAAGAGGGGGAAGCAGGAGGTCGGGGGGACCTCCGCTTCTCACGATGTCGAGAAGGCGACCTCCCGGGTTGTGGACGCTGTGGATCTCACCGACAGCCCTCCGGCCAAGGAGGCCTCACCAGTGGCTACGGCGGAGGTGGTGTAGGGTGTCAGGCTTACTGCTTGTCGCTGCCACCACTACTTGCTTCTCCTACACTGACGTCAACATGTGCAACGAGTTAAACACCATCCTTAATTACTAGCTTACAAATTCTCTTGACAAGTAGCTTATGGTGTGTGTGGCCTAGCAACATGGCTATGTGAAGTGTGTTTGGTGGGTGATGTTTGGGTTTCACTCTGGCTACCGTGAGTAATTAGGTCATGGTGTTGTTTATGCGTTATGATGAAGTGAAATCTAGCATTGGGGATACGATTAATTTTTTTGGGTGCTACTGCTAGTCATATATAAGTGATGGTGCAATGGCAGTTTGAGGAAGACACTAGGGGTCATCTCTATGATGGAAATTCACTAAATGTTGTGCCATAAAGGTTAAACCATTAGCTTTATGGTGGTTTAAATGAAAGAAAGTTAATGCATCTTGACCCAACATTCTAAAAAAAATTGTTGCGTCACAGGTCAATCTTTTCATGGTAGAAATTCGCATAAGCTTTGAGTAAGTGTGCGAGGGTATCAAGTATCCCTAGATGAGAAGGAAAGAATATGAGAATAAATATTTAATTTATGACAAATTTTTTTTTCGTTTATGAAAATATGTCACTTTTTTTTTAATTCTTATAATCATTTTTTGTTTGTTTGTAGTCTTGTACTGTTTTATTTTAGTTTAAAGTGTAATTTTAAAAAAATAATTAAAATAAAATAAAATGATGACATTATATTTTTAATGGTGTGACATTGGATGATGTGTTTTTTTTATGACATGATAATTGATGATATGATAATTGATGATATGATTATTTGATGACATGGCCTTTAAAGAAATTATCACTTAGTGATATGACACTTGAAAATGTAATTGTTGTGGAAACCAAACATTATTTTATATAATGATAAGGACTAAAAGTGTCGATGTTTAATTAGAAACTTTACAAACAAAAACAAAAAGAACTGTAGAAACTAAAAGCAAAAATATATTTATTTGCATAAATTATAAAAACATATTTAAACTAATTAACTTTTACATGGTGTTAGCAACTTCACTATACTATATGCATATGGTGTTATAGTAAAATGTTTAAATCCTTGTCTGAAGTCACACATAGAGTAGCATGTCATCTCATAATATTACAGCATTCTATATTAGGAGGAGATACACTAGGGTACATCGAGAGCTATAGCAGTGTTGGCCAAGTTACACCCCATGCACATAAGCGGATGAAACTAGGGCTCCCAAACTTGACTATCATTAAGATCATGAATTCTCAAGCTTTTACATAAGGGAACCTTCTCTAGCAACATTTTTTATATCGTACCTATCACAAAAACAAGTTATGTACATCACTACAAAAAATATGTAATTTAGCAACCACCAAAATCGGTCGCTAAATTGTTAAAATCAGTCGATAAATACCTTAGCGACAGAATTGGCGACCAAATTTAGTCAGTCGCTAAAACCCTGGTCTCTAAGCTTTTTAGCGATAGAAAAATTTTCAGTCGCAAAATGGTTGCAATGATTTTGGTCGCTGAAGTGTATGAGACCAAATTAGTGACTGGATAAATCGGTCGCTAAATATTTATTTTTTATTTTATTAAATTTTATAGATGTCGCAAATTTGGTCGCTACGAACTACTCATATTTGGCCTCTTAAGGATTTTATTTCACAATACTTAACTTTTTAGCATATTTTGTCCTTAATTACACAATTTCTAGAAATTTCTCAAAAGGTCACCCATCCCTATATTACTCCAAGTCAAGCACGTTTAACTGTGAAGTTCTGATGAGATAAGCTACCGAAAAGCAGATGCATGTTGTTAGTATAAGTAGTACAAATTAATTCATTTAAGGATAAGCTATCGAAAAGCAAATGCATGTTGTTAGTATAAGTAGTATAAATTAATTCATTTAAGGATAAGTTACCGAAAAGCAGATGCATGTTGTTAGTATAAGTAGTACAAATTAATTCATTTAAGTTATTTTCAACTATCCAATCTCATACTTATACTATCTTTGGATCCTTGTCATTTTGGTGTATCCGGACCGTTATAAATATATAATAATATATATAATAATTATATTACTAATAATTATTATTATATTATATTTAATTAATCTTTATTTATATATATACTTACTTTTATAATTAACAATCTACTTATTTCTATTTAAAATTAATTTTATGATACAATTTAAATTATTTATTATAAATTTAAAAGTTTAAGTAATAATTTATATATTTTAAAATGAGAAG